GCAGGGACTTAGCTCCACTTTCCATCCCAGCACTAACGGAGCAGCCAAACGTGCCAATGCAATGGTAGAATGTTACCTCAGGTCCTATGTATCCTATCAGCAAAGTGATTGCTATGACTTATTATCATTTGCCGAGGCAGCGTATAATAACTCACTCCATTGCAGTACAGGGTACACCTCGTTTAGGATAGTAACTGGAAAAGACTTCCCTGCCATCCCTGAGTTGGATATAAAAACACCAGAACCAAAATCAACATCAGAATGGACAGAAAACATCCAAAGGGTTTGGCCCCACATGAAAAAAGCCCTAGAGAAAGCATCTACTGAATACAAACACCAGGCCAATAAAAAAAGGGCTGATTGCCCACCACTGCAACCAGGAGACCGGGTATACCTGTCTACTAAATATCTACGACTACAAATACCCAGTAAAAAACTTGTTCTCAAGTATATTGGACCTTTTCCAATACAGAAAGTAATAAACCCAGTAACTGTAGAATTAAACCTACCCCTAGGTTAGGTAAAATACACCCAGTGTTTCATTGCAGTTTACTGAAACCAATAGCAAACCCCCGGGATACCAATACCTATCCCAGCCCTGTAGCAGAGCAACACTATGAACTCGAAAAGATCCTTTATTCAAAATATCATAGGGGGGCCCTAAAATATCTCATCAAGTGGAAAGAGTACCCAGATACTGACGCATCATGGGTACGAGACACGGATGTCAACGCTTCATGTTTATTATGACATTTTCACAGGGCATATCCAGCAAAACCAGGTGGTCCAACGACCTAACACTAACATCTCCTTTTCTCTTTGCAGACAGAAACCTGGTAGGGGGAGCTGCTTGTCAAGCGTCAAGCAACACTTGACCCCCTGATGTTCCAACGGAAAAGAAAGGCGCTATGGGAGGGGGGATATGGGCACGGGTAACAATGGGGGGTGAAACATGGCAGCTAGGTGTCATACCCACCAGTGGAGGAATATAGTGGGGCTTGCGTGGGGTGCCGGTGAGGCGTGTGTCGGATAGCAATCCAGCCAGGTGCGATGAAGCCCTGATGACATCATCTCCCTGCAACCCTACCGGTGGCAGATTCAAACGCCCTTCAGCTGAGGAAAATTACAAACATGCATCAACTAGCAATCAACTGAGGGTGGATATATAAAGCATAGCTGAGGGACAGACGCCCTCAGCTCTGACTTTATTCATGTTATTGTACTGGCAATGACTAGAAGCTGCTAGGTAGCAGGACATTAAACTGAGTTTACTGGCTGAGGCTTGGCATCTTTCCTGAATTCCTGCACCAGCAGCCTAGCGGAGCTATGAGTTCAATTGTTTGGAATCCCCACCATATATCTGACATCAGTACAATTGAGCGGGTTCAGAAGTATTTCACGAGAAAAGTTGTGCACTCTTCATACACAACACAATTCCCTATGCTACTAGGCTCGAAATTCTCAGTTTGGATAATTTAGAACTGTGTCACTTGTGGTCACGCCTAGGTATTGAATATAAAATTATATGCAATAATGTTTTACCTGTAAATGACTTTTTCTGTTTTAATATGTGCGTGAACAGCTGCTTTAAACGCCAGGTAAATTGTTCTAAGCTTGACTTTAAAAATATGATTTCTGTAATAGAGTTGTCAAAATCTCGAATGCCTTACCTGATTCAGTTGTCTCAGCTACAAATTTTCAGTTTCAATCACAAATTGACTTCCGTGGACCTTACTTCATGCTTTAAGTGGTCAGTAGAGGGAGCGTGCATAGGTGCACTAATGTGCCTACCGTTCAGGGGTAAAATTCAGCAGGTTCTGACAGGTTCTGGAGAACAGGTAGTGGAAACCTTGAGTAGTTCAGAGAACTGGCAATTACCACCTCTGACTGACCCCAGAGTAGGGTGGGAATGGGGATTTTGCAGTATCCTTCCCCTGGATTGGTGTGGGAATGGAGATATTGCAGCATCATTCCCCTGCCATGCCCACCAAGCCATGTCTACCAAGCCACAATACGCCCACCAAGCCACAGACTGATAGTAAAAAAAAATGAATTTCACAACTGCTATCATCCCTGTCATTGTAGATTTATTCTCTTATTCTTGTTCTCATTTTTCTTTGACAAATTCCAATAAAGAAGTAAATAAATCTTCAGTTTGGATTCTTATGAAAGCATGTCATATTTACTGTAGCTTTATATCTATATAGTGCAATGCCAAAAAGATAATCAACTTCTCATTATTCATGTCAGGGTTCCAATGGATGCCCTTTTTAAATCATAAGCCTTGAGCCAAGCTTCAAAACAAATCCAGTTATTTATTAGGAGCTTCATTTCGCCACGTTCCGAAGTGAAGCCAATTCTGACCCCACATAATTTACATTCTAATCATGAAAGTGTGAAGGTTTCTTACTATTGTAACTGTTTCAATCTGCTTAGAATAAACTTTTTGCAAAACCAAGCATTTATTTTATTTACTTACCTATTTAAAAACGCTAATATATCACTTATATAAATTTACAACAGTCCATAAAATGTAATTAAAATCATACCACTCAGTGTGAATTAAATCATATCCTTGATGAATATACATTAGAGGTGACAAATAAATTTAAGGAATTATATCTGATAGACAGAGTACCTGAAGAATTATGGATGGAGGTTCACAACATTGTACAAGAGGTAGCAACTAAAACTATCCCAAAGAAAAAGTAATCCAAGAAAGCAAAATGGCTGTCAGAGGAAGCTTTGCAAATAGCTGAGGAAAGAAGGGAAGCGAAAGGCAAGGGAGAAAGAGAAAGATACATCCAATTGAATGCAGAATTCCAGAGAATAGCTAGAAGAGATAAGAGTGCCTTCTTAAATGAACAGTACAAAGAAATAGATGAAAACAAAAGAATCGGGAGGACCAGAGATCTCTTCAAGAAAATGGGAGATATGAAGAAAACATTTCATGCAAAGATGGGCATGATAAAGGACCAAAATGGCAGAGACCCAACAGAGGCAGAAGAGATTAAGAAGAGGTGGCAAAATTACACAGAAGAACTATACAAGATCCGTATCTTCCCAGTCCTCAAGAATGCGAATAAGGGATGCTAACAAGTGTACATGTATAGGTGGTGATCATATGATATGATTTGTTCCTGTTATATCACCCTGGAGAGGACTAACGGTTGGATTCAAGTGCTAGATTAGCAAATGGTATTACCTATCTGAAGATGGATATCTCTTCAGCAAGCCTTCTTTAGACCTAGAGATTTGCTGCAAAATATTCATGGCTTCCATAAGAAAGGCTGAGTGCCAAAGAATGGAGGTCTTTGAACTATGGTGCTGAAGAAGACTTCTGTGAATCCCTTGGACTGCAAGGTGATCAAACTGGTCAGTCCTAGAGGAGATCAACCCTGACTGCTCTTTAGAAGGCCAGATCCTGAAGATGAAACTCAAATACTTTGGCCACCTAATAAAAAGGAAGGACTCAGTGCAGAAGAGCCTGGTGCTGGGAATGATTGAGGGCAAAAGAGGAAGGGGACGGCAGAGAATGAGGTGGCTGGATGGAATCACTTAAGCGGTTGGTGCGAGCTTAAATAGACTCTGGGGGATGGTAGAAGACAGGAAGGCCTGGAGGAAGGTTGTCCATGGGGTCTCAATGGGCTGGACATGACTTCGTGACTAACAAGATTCATGGTTTTGGAGTTATTGTCCTCTATTCTACAGTTAACTACAGTTAATATGATTCCTCTGCCACTAAATATGAACTTACCATATAAAGTCTCTCCCCTCCTTGAATTTGGTTTTTAAAAAGTATCCCTTTTATTTAAACCAAAAGGAATAGGGAAGCCACAAAAGTGGCAAAAGTGTTAAAGGGTGGAAAGAAAGAGCAGAGAGGGTGGTAGGAATTAAAGAGTAAATGTAAGGAAGGGGAAGAAACAGTGGGGAGAAAAATACCAGAGATCTCACTCTGTTCTAAGGTATCATTCAATCACTTTATTGGGAGTTACTTTTTAATTATTGTTAATAAATAAATAAAATAGATATGAATAAATAAGTTGCTGACTCTCCACAGTCCTACCATCCCTTTCCTAATGTTTCTTCTATTTGAACCAATTTTAGGTATCCAATTCATGCTTATACTTATTACCAAATACGTTCATGACAAATAAATAAATAAATAAAAAATAACATTTTGAAAGCAGGCAGAGCCCTATCGTAGGACAGTGTTGGCAGTGCCCAGTGTTGCCCAGTGTTAAGGCTGAGACTTGTGGAAGAACTTAAAAAGAAACTTTGCAAACTCAGGTTTTACAACATCTTCAGGTTCCCCAGGAGCCTTTCCTCTAAAGCAAATTGTAATGAGCAAAAATGACTTGCCTTTCTCAAGGTAGGAATAGGGGAAAGGAAATCATTCCGAGAAAAGACATTGGAGGTATGTGGTTGGAGAAGTTGATGAAGCAATGTATCAATTTAAAACTTTTAATTATTCCTGTGGTGGATAATACCAGAAGCTTATAGTAAAGAAAATGTATACTAAATTATTCATGTAATAACTGCAGCTAGAATTGTATTTGAACAAAATTGTAAAAGTGAAGAGATTCCTACAGATGAAACTATGATTAAGAAAATATTAGAATGTGCAGAAATGAATAGATTAACACTTGCAATCAAAGGAAAGGAAGAATCTTATTATTATAGTATATGGGAATTATTCTATCAATGGTTGGAGAATAAATATGAAAATAATGTATTATAAAGGCAAATAAATTAAGAAGAGAAATGATATAAGAGTAGGTATGTTAAATATTAGTAGTAATATAAGAATAGATACAAATAATGAATATGGTGGTAAATTTTAATTGTCATGACACAAAAATATGTACTCAGATGTCACACTGTTCAGTGAAAGAGGTAATGTTTATATTAAAAGAAAATTTTATATATAATATATATATATGAAAGGCATTGGAGCAAGTAAAATCAATCACCAGAATCCTTGGACGAGCTGCAATTACCTTTTCAGTTGGTTGGTTGGAAGCTTGGAGAATGAAAATTGGTACAATGAAGCTACGAGTCCAGACATTATTCCTGTAATCCAGTAGTCTCCAGGCTTGTAGTAATGGAACCACTCCTTTTCTTCTATTATCACCTTAAATGGACATTTCATCAGTGTACTGGCACAGGGAATTTGAGACAGAAACTGAAGCAGAAAAAGCTGTATATGCAGCAGCAGCAACATTTGACATACAGTATACTGCAGGAGATCCTTCCTAGAGTTCTTTCTTCAGCACAGAGCTAAATCTCAGAGATCACAAAAAGACCACAACTACAGAGAGGAAGGTCCAGTTTGCCCCCAGATTTGGAAGAGCTATCTGCAATTTCAGACTGCTAGAGTATTTGCCCAGCTTTACCCCAAACTCTGATCTCATCACAGGAGGCTGTTACAAATCAGATTATCACATGCTGTCTATCCCATTTGTTGTCACATTGATTGGCCACTAATTGTGGTGGTGGAAATCCCATGAACTTTGTTCAAAGGAGAATAAATAATCATGATTTTGATAATTAGAAGGGGAATTGGGAATGAGCCTTGGCCATAAAAGTGTGCCATTGGAGAAAAGAGTTTTATTTGACTCAGGAGAATAATCCTAATTTGAGAGTCGAGAAAGGAACAATTCAGGGAAGTTTGATTGTTTTTTAGTCTTCAAATTTATTCTTGAGATTGTAAAGATTAAAATGTGGAAACACAGTTCAACACTCTTGAAGTAGGCAGTGGGCCATTATAATTCCTTCCTATTTTGTCTGATATGGATGAGACCATCTTCTTCAGTGAAGGTTTGATACTCCAGGATGGTTGACTCCAGATCATGACATATTGAACAACCTATTGTTGTTGATGATGAGCCGAAATGACGCAGTGTTTAAGTGCAGTACTGCAGGCTACTTCTGCTGATCACCGACTGCCAGCAGTTTGGCAGATTGAATCTCACCAGGCTCAAGGTTGACTCATCCTTCCATTCTTCCAAGGTCAGTAAAATGAGGACCCAGATTGTTGGGGGCAATAGGCTGACTCTGTAAACTGCTTAGACAGGGCTGTAAAGTACTATGAAGTGGTATATAAGTCTAAGTGCTATTGCTATTGGAGGCCCCTGTTAAATGTCTTGTATCTTTCAAAATATAGAAGAGTGTATCGATCTTCATGGTTACAAAGAAGAACTAGTCCAAATTCCCTGGGGCATTAATCTAAAACAATGGCCCATTACTGACTTCTTCATGATAGCAATAGCGATAGCAAACTTATATAACGCTTCACAGTGATTTTACAGCCCTGTCAAAGCAGTTTACAGAGTCAGCCTATTGCCGTCAACAATCTGGGTCCTCATTTGACCCACCTCGGAAGGACGGAAGGCTGAGTCAACCTTGAATCAGTGAGAATAAAACTGCCAAATTGCGGGTAGCCAGAAGGCAGCAGAATAGCCTGCAATACTGCATTCTGACCACTGTGTGTCCTCCTCCTCCTGATGTGGTGACATTTGCTGTCTCTTACATAAGATATCTAATAGGGAACCAAGAGATGATGCTATATGAGTACAATGCCACAATGGCTGAAGGTGAAGGGCTAAACAAAATTTGAGGACCTGAGACCAGGGCCTTTGCTATACGACAGTGGTGGTGAACCTTTTACTCACTGAGTGCCAAAATATGACAAAACATGTTTGATGAATAGAATAGAATAGAATAGAATAGAATAGAATAGAATAGAATAGAATAGAATAGAATAGAATAGAATAGAATAGAACAGAACAGAAGAGTTGGAAGGGACCTTGGAGGTCTTCTAGTCCGACTCTCTGCTTAGGCAGGTAACCATATATCATTTTAGTAACCATGAGAAGGATCTTGGAGTCCTAGTGGACAATCACTTAAATATGAGCCAACAATGTGTGGCAGCAGACAAAAATGCCAATGCAATCCTAGGCTGCATTAATAAAGGGATTGAATCAAAATACTTAATTTGATTTTTGGTTTTTTCCCTTCCCACACAAATTTTGTAGTTATTTTATTCAAATTATTGAAAAAAAAATTATCTAATTTTACCAGGATTGTTTGAAATAAATAAAGGAGTCTCGGCACTACATTCGTCTTTATTGCTGCTATCCTACCTAATAGTGATCATTTTAATTTCCCCCATTTTTCTAAATCTTCTTTTATTTGTTGGACTAAACAAGTTGCCTTGTTCCTTTTTCTATATTAAAATTATCTGTTAAACCACCATTGATCATTATTTGCGCTGTTTGTTTTTGATATATTGCCTTAATAGATTGTATAAAATGTTCTCCAAATTGCATCCTTTCTATTAATTTTAATAAAAATTGCCAATTCAATCTATCAAAAGCTTTTTCAGCATCCAAAAAACTAGCACTGCGGGGACCTGGTTGTTCCTTCCCAAATACTCTAATAAATTAACAATTTGCCTTACATTACTTTTCATTTGTCTTCCATTTATAAAACCAGTTTGATCATGATGAATCATTTGCTGCATAACTGTCATTAATCTATTTGCTAAAATTTTAGCAAAAATCTTATAGTCTGTATTTAAAAGTGAAATCGGCCTATAATTTTTAGGATCTGTATAGTCTTGCCCTTCTTTTGGGATCAGCGAAATAAATGCTGTCTTCCAAGTTGGAGGTACCTCTCCTCCCTGTTGTATATTATTGAATAATTCCTTCAGTGGTTCCACCATTTCCTCCTGTAAACTTTTATAATAGATAGCTGTCAAACCATCTGTTCCAGGAGCTTTACCCACTTTCAACTGCTTGAATCCAAACATAATTTCCTCGGAAGTTATCAATTGATTTAAGCTATGCCTCTGCTCTTTTGAAATTATACAAATATTCTCTTTCTGCAGATATCTATCTATATCTATATTTTGAATTTTATCACCAGTATACAGCCTTGAATAAAACTCTAAAAAAGCTTTTTTAATTAGTTCTTGCTCATAAACATCCTTACTCTTGTATTTTATTTTCTCTATTGTCCTTGCTTTCTGCTTTTTCCTTAACAAATATGCCAACCACCTGCCTGGTTTATTGGCATTACAAAAAGTATTATGTTTTGCATATTGTAAATTGGTTGCCACTTGATCTGCTATTAACATATTAATATGTTAACATTTTAGTCTTATCTTTATTAATTTTTAAACCTGCTACTTTTCCAAATTCTTCTATCTCTTTTATTAATATTGGTCCTGTTTTAAATGGCTCTTCTAAGAAGAATACAAGATCATCTGCAAATGCTTGGACCTTGTATTCTTCTCGTTTTACATTTAGTCCTTTTATTTTTTTATTTGATTTAATTCTTATGAGTAAATTTTCCAATGTTAAAATAAAAAGTAAAGGTGAAAGTGGACATCCCTGCCATACTCCTTTATTTATTTCAAAGAATTTGGTAGAGTCTCCATTTACTAGTATACTTGCTTTTTGTTTCGTATATATAGAGGCTATCATTTTTTCAAATCTCTCCCTGAATTTCATGTTTTTTATTTGCTGAATCATAAATTGCCAATTGACCTGATCGAAAGCTTTTTGTGCATCCAGAAACACCAGTGCTACCTGCCTCTCTGGATGCACCTCATAATATTCTAATACATTAATTACTGTTCTTATATTGTTTTTTATTTGTCTCGTTGGTAAAAACCCGTTTTGATCTGAGTGTATTCTATAATTCAATAATTTTTTCATCCTATTTGCCATTATATTCATAAAAATTTTGTAATCAGTGTTTAATAAAGAGATCGGTCTATAATTTTTTATTTGTGTTACATCTGCTCCTTCCTTCAGTATCAGCGAAATGTATGCTTCCCTCCATGAGTCTGGTAGCTTTGCCTCTATCAATGCCTCATTACACATTTCTAATAGTATCTAATTCAATGTTTCTCCTAGTCTTTTGTAAAATTCAATTAGTAATCCATCTGTCCCTGGGGTTTTATTATTTTTTTGCTTCTTAATCACTTCCTTTAGCTCTTCTATAGTGATATCCCTATTTAATATCTCTTTTTCTTCCTCTGTTAATACCGACATCCCCTCCCCACCCAGATATTCATTTATTTCTTCATCTGTCACTTTATCTTGCTCATAAAGTTCTTGAAAAAATTAAATTACTATCTCCTTTTTCTTTTCTACATTATGTTGCATTTTACCCCTTTTGTCCTGTAGTTGTTGAATTGTTCTTTTCTCCCTTTCTTTTCTCAATCTATAAGCAAGCCACCTCTCTGGCTTATTCGCATGTTCAAAATGGTTCTGTTTTATAAATTTCAATGCCTTTACATAATTTTCCTGTTCTAATATATTTAATTTATGTTTAGCTGCTATCCATTTACCTCTAATTTGCTCATCCCCAGGATTATCTTGTAATATTCCTTCCCAATTTTTAATCTCTTCTTGTACCTTATTATATTCCCTCTCCCTTTTTTGTTTTACATTATAAAGTATCGTCAATCCTCTCACATAAACTTTCGTTGTGTCCCATAAATTCTGAAGGGAGGTGTGATATTTTGTATTATCTTTAAAAAACAATTTTCCTTCCCAATTTTTAATCTCTTCTTGTAGCTTATTATATTCTTTTTCCCTCTCCTTTTTTTGTTTTACATTATAAAGTACCAATCAATTGAAGGACATGATTATTTCAAATAGTTTGAGTTGTTTTAGCAACTTTACTACTCATTTACTATAATTCAAAGTTCACATGGAATGAAGAAAGATAAGCGACAACATATAAAACATTACTTCAAAGTATGTGATTTTATGCTGCATGTAAACTATAGAAAAACAAGGAGACTTAATGATTTTTTATCATCAGATGTTCTTTGGTGTTCATGTCAGGTCTCAAGATAATAATGTAGCATTTGGGGATAAAGATGCAGCCCAGTAAACCCAGGCCAGAGGCCAGGATGGAGAAGATCTGCACGGCTACCATGTATTTCCCCTTGGTGCTCAGATATGTGGGAACAAAGGAGATCCAAACGCTACAAAAAACCAACATGCTGAAGGTGATCAGTTTGGCTTCATTAAAAGCCCCTGGCAGATTTCGAGCCAGAAATGCCACCAAGAAACAGATGGCAGCCAAAAAACCCATGTAGCCAAGAGCAGAGTAGAACATGGTGACAGAGCCTTCATTGCACTGCAGCAGGATGTGTTCTGGTTGGGAATGAAAGTCAGAATCTGGGAATGGGGGAAAGACTCCCAGCCACATCATACAGAGGCCTACTTGAACACCAGAGCAGGATAAAACAATAGAGTTGGCCAGACTCTTCCCCAGCCATTTCCTCATGCTGCTGCCTGGCTTTGTGGCCAGAAAGGCCACCACCACCATGACAGTCTTGGCCAGCAAGGAAGACACAGCAACTGAGAAAACAACACTGAAAATGGTTTGTCGAAGGAGACAGGTCATTTTCACGG